AACATTTACCCCAAGGTGGTAGGCAGCCTTGCAGATTATTTTCAGTTAATGTACCCAGGTTTTGAGACATCCGTTTCTAATATTTCTATCCTAATACAATGAGGTGAATTTCATTTAACATGTCGTTCCAGAAACAATACTCCAACCACTCTGGATAATCAAAAGACCTTACTGTGAGCAATTCATTTAAAGTAATGTATTTTCTACAAAGGAAACAGACTTTATGCGACTGTGAACAGCGAGGTCTGTGGGTTTTTCCAAGAAACTATACTAATTTTGGAATTTTTCAAATGTAAATTTTCAAACTATAGTAGCACAAATGAATCTGTGCTGACCTGCACTGCAGTAATGGGGGTAATATGAGAACACAAAACATTAAACATTAAAATAAAAGCACATTTTTTTTAAACAAGGAAAAATGGAGCTATAAGGTAAAACTGGTTCAAAGTGACTGACCGAAGCCTATGCCTGGTGTGTTTCAACGTTTCAGAATGGGAGAGGTCGTAAGACTTACAACTGGTTGGATCAGGTCCGACTTTGCTTTAGCGATAATTGCAGGGAACATGTCAGTTCAATGCCAACCTTTGTGGGTGCAGATAGGGTGCGGGACTCGTGTTGGCCTCTGCCGCCACCTGTAGATCAGAGGAACAGTGCCAAACTGTTAACAGGAATATGGATTGTGGGAGAAACCCACAGAGAAAAAACCGAACCATGGCACAACTGGAGGCCAAAGACTCAACAGTGAACCTTTAACATCCTGTGTGGTTTCATACTATTCCACTGAATGACCGCTGGGGAGGTTACATGCTAACAAAGTCAGCAGTGAGCCAACACAGGTAACAACGAGATGACTGCAAAATGAATACTGCATAACTTCAGACATTTTTTAAGGTCAGCTTTTTTGTTTAACAAGGAAGGAATTAATCATGGTGTTTAAGCTGAAGGACGCACACATGGTGTCTGTGCTGAGAAACACTGAATGTGGGGTTCTTTTATACCATTCAATGGTATTGGGATGGAAGGCAGGTCAGTCGTCTTTTGAGATTGAATAGAAAATGATGGACACTGAATTCTTTATAATACCATTAACAGAGTCATGAGAAACTTTTCAGAATTTGCTTGAACTGATGTAAAGGTTTTTTAAAATTTAATCAAAGACTATTACAAATTTACTAGATTTAGATCTTAAACAATCAATTGATGAATCAAATTAAGTGACAGAAATTAAACAGCAATTATTATTTTTTATACTCAATTTATCTTGTAAGTCATTCATCAAGCTAAAATACCAAACTCTCTGTGACTGATTTCTTTAAATATAATGATGTTTTTCGTCATAATATTTTACATTTGTGGTTGGATTCATATTTGTGAAATGGCACTTTGGGACTTGGCAATCAGTAATTTGAAATTGTAGTTAATCAATCAAGGTTAGTGTAATTTGCCGTTCTATGTGAATATATCACATTTGCTTTGCTATCATAATTATTTACTTGAAATGCCAAATATGACATGGGACAACAGTAGATAATTATCACAGCTTTCTACTATTACATGCACATATTGTATGTCAGTTAAGTGCAGAGCCTTCTCGAATAGATCTCGCACATCTTGAATTTTGATCCTGCCCACATATGAATCTGCCTTGTCTATTAATTCTGGCGCGTTGTGCTGGAGCCAGGATCAGTGAGAATGCGAGCACTGGCTGCCTCTCAAGGTGTGCTATTGTACCCCACATGATAAACAGATGCAGCTGTCATCCCCACATTTTCCAACGCGCCTTATGGCCCTTCCCTCACTGGCATCTCAGGAAGCTTCAGAGCTCCACTCAAAACGGCTGTAAATTGAAGAATGTGGCTCAAGGCAAAAAAAAATGATGGAGAGTATTTAATAGAGCCAGATTGATTTATATGTTGGCTGATAGAAATTGGGCGATATGAGCCTTTCATAGACAAACCAGCATCAGTGTTTGTTTGCTCACATGAAAACATTTATATTACAGAATGAGCAATGCAGAAAAGATGTGCATTTATGTTTATATTTTACATAACAAAAAATTATATATTTAATCTCTTAATTCAAGTTCTATATACTCGGTTGCAATTGCCTTTTATTTTTTCTATACTTAATTTATGTGGATTAAATGCGTGAAATTCATCACAGAGACTCACAATGTGACTCAGTACTGTGTACAGCCCCCACGGGCCTGTATGTACTCCTGACAACGTCTGGGCAGGCTCCTGATGAGTCGGCGGATGGTGTCGTGGGTATCTCCTCCCAGAGGAGCTGAATCAGGGCATCAGTGAGCTCCTGGACAGTCAGTGTACTTGATGCACTGATACTTATTACGTTCCATAGGTGGTCAATTGGATTTAGGTCAGGGGAACATGAGGGCCAGTCAATGGCATTGATGCCTTCATCATCCAGGAACTGCCAACACATTTGACACATGAGGCCGGGCATTGTCCTGCACCAGGAGGAACTCAGGGTGCACTGCACCAGCATAAGCTCTGACAATCACTCTGAGGATTTCATCCCGGTACCTAACAGCAGTCAGGGTACCATTGGCTATGACATCTGTTTGACCCTCCAAGGATCTGCGTCCCGAGACCATCACTGACCCACTGCCAAACCGGTCATACTGGATGGTGTTACAGGCAGCGTAACGTTCACCATGGCCTCTCCAGACTGTTTCACGCTGGTCACATGTGCTCAGTGTGAACCTGCTCTCATCTGTGAAGAAAACGGGGCGCCAGTGGCGGACCTGCCAACTCTGGTTATCTCTGGCAAAAGCCCATCGATCTGCACGGTGCTGGGCTGTGAGCACAGGTCCCAGTAGAGGACGTTGAACCCTCATTCTACCCACATGGAGTCTCTGACAGTTTGGTTAGTAACATGCACACCAGTAGCCTGCTGGGGGTCATTTTGTAGGGCTCTGGCGGTGCTCCTCTTGTTCCTCCTTGTACAAAGGAGCAGATACCGGTCCTGTTGCTGGGTTGATGCCCTGTCCAGCTCTCCTAATGTAATGGACGGTCTCCTGGTATCTCCTACATGCTCTTGACTGTGCTGGGAGACACAGCAAACCTGCAGAGGAGCTGGACTACCTGTGCAACCTGATTGGGCAGGGCCTGTAAATCGACATGTAGGTGAGAAAACAATCCGAGCCGTAACAGACTTCACAGCTGTTGATGCATTCTAAATATTTAGTCACATGATTTATAAACTCAGTAATGTCATGTTATGTTGTTTTCTCCACTGTGTTGTCTTGCTCGACTAAATGCCACACAACCAGTAATGTTTAAACCTTTGAGGTGGGGGGTGTTTCAGCTGTAAAATATTAAACATTAACAAAACACATTTTCTAAACAGCAGAGTACACAGCACAGTAGTAGTTGTTGTTAACCACTGCTTATGTTAGTGAGCTGTGTGGTAAATGCAAAAGTTTGAATGGGGTAAAACTGCAAGTAGATTCTGTCCTCAAGTTTATTTTCTGCTCTGAGGTGTCATCATGTGTTTTACTGTCTATCCACAGTCATAAATGACCTATAAGCTGGTACACATGCATCGCAGTGTTCTGTTCTGTGTTAGTAATGTAAAAATCAAACCATGTGCACATTTGCTTCACGCTAAGAGGATACACCTTTTAAAACTACAAACACATCGTTGCTCCTCGGTGTGCTAGTTGCTGTGCAGGCGGGAGAGAGACGGACACACGCAGGCGACTCACTCCGGTGAGGTGACTTCAGTCGCTGGGGCATTTTCGCTGTTAGCTGCCAATGAGGTTGGACTCTGCGCTGAAGCTAAAGCTCCGGCAGCTTTGGCGTGAAGGGAACCGAGCGAGGGGACTCACTGGAGCTTGTTCCTGTGGATCGCAGCCGTCAGGCGGTAGAGGTGGACCCGGTCGGCGTAATTTGGCTTCTAGCATGTCAGAAACATCGAATCTATAAAGAAAATACGCGATCGTCCCTTATTTCCAGTTGCTATATCCAAAACGATGATAGCATTCCCTCACGCCATCGGCTGGTTCCATAGTGTAGCGGTTATCACGTCTGCTTTACACGCAGAAGGTCCTGGGTTCGAGCCCCAGTGGAACCAGTATTTTTTTTTTTTAAATTGTCTTTAACGCCTGCACCACTTACACGTAAATATTTTATATTGTAGCATAGATATACAGATAGATAATAGATAGATCGATACTTTATTGATTATTAAGGCATCCAGTAGAAAACAAAACACTCAAACCAAAGAGCATAACAAAGAAAGATATTAATGCAACACTGATTTCAACTGCTACACAGTTTAGAATCTAGTACAAGATGGTGAATATCCCTTGTACGTTTCACAATTATTGTTTTACTGTTTGATAATCAAGTAGTGAATTGATGCCCTCATCATACTGTGGTAAAGGAGACATACTCATGTTCCTATTTCTAATTCAGGTTTTTACTTGACTCATGTTCAGAAAATGAAGGATTGATAAATGAATGAATTTCTGATTCATTACAATACACTCCCATTGTAATTACATTGGTACAGTTAGATAAAATGATTGTATGAAAAACATCTGGGGTCGGAAACACCTGCAGCAAACTGACTCTGTTTTTTTCTTACTTCAATGCTCAGCGAACTAAACACTGACTAAACTGACTTTACACTAACAATGTATTTACCTTTTCAATCTCTATCGTCCATGTTGACGACAGAGAAGCAGAGAGTTGCACTCAGACTAACAGACAACAAGCCTCTCTCATTCCCTCTCAGAGTTTGAGTGAAACACAGAAGCCAGTAAACACTTTACAGATGATTAACTTGTCTGAAAACACTCACCAACTCTTCTCAGGAGCCATTTGTCTTGTTGCAGCTCTGCAGCCGCATCAGTCCGTCACCACCATTAAGTCCGTGGGTTCCACTCGAGCGGGACAACAGCGCCATCTAGATTCCTACCGCTCCCCCACTTTCCCTCGACTTTTTAACGACCACCAGCGTTTTTTATCTCATCTTAAATCTCGAATCTAAAAACAGAAGTGGTTCATAATATAATCATTTCCACCCTGTTTCTGGTTTTTATACATTTAACCCGCGTCGTCGCGCACAAACGGACGTCGTCTCGCTCTCACTTCCTGGTGTCGCATCGTTTTCTGTCCCCCCGCAAAATGGCGAACGTCGCCGCCGCAGCTGCTGCGGCCGCAGCCGCCGCTGCCGCCGCCAACAGAGACCCAGCCGTCGACCGGTCGCTACGGTCCGTGTTTGGTGAGTTCGCAGCCGGTGCTCTCTCCGGGTCCGCCCGTTTAATTCGTTACGTACTCAACAAGTAGCGGCTAATGAATGAACGCTTGCTAACGTAGCTGGCGAAGCTAGTGTTGCCGTTAGCCGGACACAACGAGGAGGCAAAACCCCACACTGGAAATGGAAAAATGAAAAGTTGTGTTTTATTTATTGTGGCCGCTGTTTGAATTTGACTCATGATCTGTATTTGTTATTTAGTGGGGAACATTCCGTATGAAGCCACCGAGGAGCAGCTGAAAGACATATTTTCTGAAGTGGGACTTGTTGTCAGCTTCAGGTGAGTCAGAGAGAAGCATCTTCCAAACAGTGTGCACTTAAACCTTTTGAAATGAATAAATCATGATCATATACCACAAGTGTTAACATCACGTGTTTTCCTTCTTGTTCCTCGCGACATGTTGTGTTTTCTGCTCACTTAGCACCTTTCATGATATATTGTTCCCTCAGTTATCAGTTTGTCAGGCACACCAAGCTTTAACTAAAATAATAATACATTTTATTTATACAGAGTCTCTCAAACATTAAATGCAGTTCAAAGTGCTTTACAATAAAATGAAATAAGACAGATCAAAAAGAACACGTTACTTGGGATAAAAGCATAAAACTAGCAGAAGGTATAAAATGAAGCTACTCTTTATTTAATTTAGAAGGTGAACATTTGTGCTGCTGTTGAACTATTTCATTTTACTAAGAAGTTATTTAGCCTGGATGCAGTGTTTGTATGTGCACAGTATAATAGGAACACCATGCATGGCACCACTGATAGAACATCCCCCTTTGTCACACATTTGACTTAATACCTCTTTACGGCAGTTATAAAGAATGTTTTCATGAAGGGAGATCTACTTACAGGGCTGTTGTAATTGACCACATTAGTTTGAGTTACCTGATGAACTCACAACTGAGCATCTATGGAAACCTTCAATCCACTCCCTGTTGATGAAGTAATGAGTGTGGGACATCCTCTTTTCCTTTTAGCTATTTGATTTGCCCCATAACCAGAGTCCAACTGTGAACCACTATTCTCTTTTTAATGTCAGACCTTTCTTCTTTTCTCTCAAGTCACCATTTCAAGCTCCTATGAGTTTGTATTTTAAAGTTGAACGTCCTCAGCTTATGTTGGTAAACTTTCAGCTCGTAGTGATTGTCATCATTATCCTCATCACTCTGGTTTTCAGGTTAGTATATGACAGGGAGACAGGAAAGCCAAAGGGATATGGCTTCTGTGAATATCAAGACCAGGAGACGGCTCTCAGTGCCATGCGGAACCTGAACGGGAGAGAGTTCAGTGGTCGGGCTCTGCGTGTTGACAACGCAGCCAGTGAGAAAAACAAGGAAGAGCTCAAAAGTAAGTGTTTATTTTGACATGATTTCAATTAGACGTGCTGATTTTCTTTCAAATAGGAGATATATGTACAAATCAACAGTGCTCTGACTTTCTTGTCATTCACAGGTTTGGGAACAGGATCCCCCATTATCGAGTCTCCTTATGGGGATAATGTCCAGCCAGAGGAGGCCCCAGAGTCCATCAGCAGAGCTGTGGCCAGTCTGCCTCCAGAGCAGATGTTTGAACTCATGAAACAGATGAAGGTTGGCTGCTCTACTTGCCTCACATTTGAACTAGTGACTGTTTAGGCTTTCTGGAACTGGTGAATCTGTGGCATTTATATATTGTTGCTTTTATGCAAAATGTTTTGTGTAACAGAGTGAAGAGGCAGCCATCTTGAAATCAGTAAATTGTTGGTTGTTCGAAACAACAGATATCTAACGATGAGTCACAATGAAGTTATTATAGTGTTCCTTTTCACAAATGCACGTTCTCAGGCTGTATGTATTGTGCTGCTTGCTCTCTTTATTCTTCAAAAAAAGATGGGGACAAGTATTTTTCTCAGTTTGAATCACCTGCAGGATGACAACCGTATGGAAATGCTCTTCCTTTGCTTTCATTAACAGAGGCTGTGCTGTAAAGCCTGTCTCTCTCAGCTCTGCCAGAGAAGCCTTATCTTTGCACAGCTGGCAGTCTGCTTCATTAGGTTCAAAGAAACAACACACTGCAGACATTTTTCTCCTGACTGGAAAAGTGTTTGGTGCACGGAAGCTTGTGTCAGTAGGACAGCTCCACATGCTGATCAAAACATTTGAGCTCCTGATCCGACTGATATTGTTGCCTTTGACTAATGTTTTGTGCTGATGCAGCGCATGTCCACAAACAATCAGTTGTTTTTTTTCTAAATCATTTGTGGCCGGCAAAAAATAAAGATAATGTTTTCAACCTGTCAAGAAGTAAAAGCACACAAGGCAATCATGTTGTTTTTCTTCCCAGTTGTGATTTTCCATGTAGATTATAACATCACTTTACCAGATTCTGTTTGTCTCTCTCCAGCTGTGTGTGCAGAACAGTCCCCAGGAGGCGAGGAACATGCTGCTGCAGAACCCTCAGCTGTCTTACGCTCTGCTGCAGGCCCAGGTGGTCATGCGAATCGTTGACCCTGAGATAGCCTTGGTGAGAGAAGCCCAATTGAGAATTAAGAGATTAGTTAAATCCTGCTTTTATTTAACTGCGACCTTGTCATTTGACAGTAGAGATAAACGTTAGTCTGCACTTCAGTACCAAAACATTTCTGAGGGATTCTTGTCCATGTACTCCATATACAGAAAATGCTCCACCGTCAAACCACAGTCCAGCCTCTGGCTCCCAGCGGACAGGGTGGAGGAGCACCGCCCGTCAATCCTCCGCCTGCACAGCCCAGCGTGCCAGTGTCTCAGCCGCAGCCTGTGGTGGGTAGTCACTTTCATGCAATTTCACACTTTCACAATACGTCCCTGCACATGGCCTTAAAAAAAGACACGTCACAGGTAAGAAATAGTAATTGATCATTAAGGTCACAAACTATAAAGGTTGTTGGACAGTAATATTACTGTTTGTAGTGTTTTGTGTAAATATGTGGATTAAATAAAGTTGATCAAAGGTGAACTTTGACTTTCATTTTTTTGGGTCGTGCCAAATCACCACATTACAGATTGTTTCTTTAAAAAAGGCTCTGATGACTGACTGTTGGTGTGTTCTATCATCTATCTATCTATCTATCTATTTATTCTCTTTTTATTATTATTTTGGAATATGATCAGCCTGGAATGCATGTCAATGGAGCCCCTCAGATGATGCAACCCCCCAACATGGGTGTTGTCCCAGGACCAATTCCTGGACCGGTACCGGGACCTGGAACAGGACCAGTGGGACCTCCAGGTAAACATCAAGCTGCCGCACCAACTCAACTGGTTTTGATAGCATCATTTTTATGTTCCAGATATCGATCACTGTTCTCATTTATTAGTGTTTGCGGGGTGACTGTTTCATTTCATCTATCCCTCTTGACCACAAACTGATCATTGGTCAAATCTTTCTCCCATTTTCAAGTCATTCAAAAAACCTGTGATCTGTTCTTGTACGTCTCAGTCGATGCCACACAGCTGTCATCCTGTAGCTTGATCTGGTTTATCAGTCTGTTAAAATGTTCCCTTATTATTGATGTAGTTTCACTGATAAGAAGTGAAAGGTTTATAAGAATTGTAGGTTATGATTTGTTTTTCTTATTAACAAAAGAAAGGCAAAGCTATATATTTTTGGTCAGATTAAACTTAAGACTTTTTGAGAAAGCGAACATTTGATAGTCAGTTTATAATATAAGTCAGCAGCAAATCACCCAATTAGATTTAGCTGTTACTCTCAGAATTACTATAAACAAAGGTGCGGCCATGCATTGCAGTGATTCAAGCTTCTCTTTAGATATTTTAGCAGAAGTCCATGTTCATAAAACATGAAGTTCACCAAACAATTGAGGTAAAATATTTTCTTGCTATAGTTGATGCATCATTTTAGCTCATAACACTTTGCAGATGTAATGGCTGAATGGAGTCACTAGGTGTCAGCAGAGGCCTGCGATTAGTGTCCTTTCAATTTAGAACAGAAACTTTCAAATTTCCCCAACAAGTTCCCCACTTCAACCCTGTGTGTGTGTGTGTGTATTGTATGTGTGTATTGTATGTGTGTATTGTGTATGGGCACGCTTCAAACTTGTCAGTGTTGCTTTGCTCTCTTGAGTTTTGTGTCTCCTGTTCTTTTCACTTTAATGCTGGCTCAGGAAACCTTCAGCATTCTCCCACAGGATCGTCTGGCCAGGCTGCTATCGAGCGTCCTCCAGGTATCACTGTCCTCCCTCAGTTCAGTCAGGTGGTAGGACTGTTATGGAGCAGCCGCTGTCCAAACACAGAGAAGATCTGAAATTAGAATTTTTTAGAATGCACGTCCACTTTATCTCATACGAACCCTCTTGACATTTAAGCCATTATCAAGCCTGTTTATACAAAGGTAATGAAGTCGGAGCATTAGCGTAGCTGCAGCAGAATGTGTCATGGTAGTAGTGGTTGCATGCGATGCAAACAAAGATACGTTTGGGCTGGGAGTGTTTTTGCATGATTAGTTTGTTTTACTGTAGAAACTCTTACATTTTGAATGGATGTTACTCACGTGCAGTGATCAGTGGTTTATAAATCACTTTGTTTTAAATTCACATGACGTTTAGTTTCATGAACTTGATTTATGTGGAAACGCTGTTTGTCTTTACTTTCACAAAGGATATAGATAAAAATATATAACCGATTAACCGAAAATATTTGTGAAGAAAATAACGCTAGTAAACATATCTAAAGACAATTAATGCAAAAGATTCACTTTTAGTCTTGTAAAATAATTTAACAATAGTACTGCTATTAAGTAGGAGGAGGCTGAAAATTCACCACGGGGCCTCATCGGCTCAGCTCGGCAGGTTGTCCACTAGAGCTGTTAGTTGATTGTCCTGTGTTCGACTGCAGGGCTGACTCCTGTCAAACCCTGAGGCACAGAATGCAGGCGGATAGGGGGATTGTTATTCCTGTCTTTCTGTGATCGTTTTGTTTCTGGTACGTTTTGGAATTTTTTTACCTGAAAGTTGGATTTTGCTGCAGTGATGAATCATGTCCTGAAGAGTCTCGTTAACTGTAGGAAAATTAAGTCAGTTTCTGCTTCTTATAAAACAAACTTCATGGTTCTTTTCCCGTGATCTTGTTTGTGATCATCAGTTGTGAAATGTCCAACAGCTGTACAACAAGAATGTTAGTCATGTTGTAGGTGCAACAGATCTGTCTCTTTCTAACTAGTTGGACTAAAGTAAAACATTTAACACCCAGACTTTTTACAGTTGAGATACGTGATGTGAACCTTCTTCTCCTTTTTTAATTTAATGACAGACCAAAGTTTCTGCTCTCCTCCGCCCTTTTGTTCCTCCTCGTCCTCATGTCTCCTGTTGTGTTGTCGGGCTGTGGCAGTTCTCCGTGGTTACTGTTCCCTACTTATCGTGAGCTTTATAAACCTCAAACAACTATGATGGTTTCCTCACATCTCCGTCCTGGGCAAACACTCACCTCTTTATATTTTTGTGTGGTTTCACTTGCTCGGAATTTCAGCCCGTTTAATGGATTAGTCATGAATCCTTTCCTGGTCAGTGAATAGAGACAATGTGTCTTTTAATGTTGTGTCTTTATGTGGTTGAATATGTGGTTCTCTCCACTCAGGACCAGGTGGAATCCCCCCCAGAGGCCTGCTGGGTGATGGTCCTAATGACCCCAGAGGGGGAACTCTGCTGTCTGTCACTGGAGAGGTCATAGACCCCAGGTAAGGAATGATATTAACATTGCATTAATTATTCAACTGGTTGTGGTCGGAGTAGTGACCATTTAAACCATTGAGGTTGTAATTCTTAAGATTTCAGTCCTGGTTGATTTGTCGTAACAGTAAGTGTGGATTCATTTTAATGATTAATCGATCAAAAGAAACCGGCAACTTCTTTAAAGACCATTTAAGTCATTTTTCCAACATTTGGTGTATTCAGGTTCTCATGTGTGACTTACTTGCCTTGGACTTGGGTTTTCCATTTAACTAAACTGAAGAGTTGTCAGGTCTGATCTGATCCAGTGTTATTACCTAATTGCAGATATACTGCATCGGGTACAAGTACAGAACTGCCAAAGATGTTTGTTTTGTTTTTAAAATATGAAATATTTTATAGTTGGTCCATCAGAGTTTTGCTCATCAAGTTTAGTTTTAACTGCAAAATTTCCTTGATCAAGAAAGTTTCTTCAATCAGTTGGATGGGAAATAAACATGTATATCTGATTAATCATCATCAGATTTTTTTGTCTTGTAGCTTCTTGTAGTCTTGAATATTAGTGCATCAGACTACAGACCATGTTCTGGGAAGTCTACATGTCCCTGTAGCAGCTGCAGCTTTGGTTCCATCCCAGTTCTTTGCTGCATGTCTCCCTCTTTCATGAGGGAACATGCAGCTTTTTTTTTTTTTTCTAAAGTCTTGAGTATTAAATTCAGTATTGGCCTCAGCAACCCTGTATCAGTTACAGTTTATGTTTTGGCAGCAGCAGAAGGAAATGTTCCTTTTCAGTTTTCGCCTGAATAAAATGTAATGAAAAATCTTAAAAATTATAACGCATGTAGTAAACGCATTGCATCTTTGCCAGTTTTGTTTTCACGAACATGATTATTTTATGTGCGATCGTTTAGCCGCGGCTACATGCCTTCTCAACCACAACACCAAGTCCCACCTGTACACATGGCCCCGATGGCGGGTGGACCCCCTCCAGATATGAGAGGACCACCGATGGACATGAGGGGCCCACCTATGGGTGAACCCCGGAACATGATTGGTGACCCAAGAGGGCCCCCGATGATGGAGCCACGGGGACCTCCAATGGAAACTAGAGGTAACTGCTCTACAAACGCTCTAAACCCAAACTTATTGGAGTTGAAATTATTTTCTGGTCGGTTCGTTGTCTGTGCAGTCTCAGTCCCAATTTTCTATTCCTGCTGCTACGGTCACGCTTCAACAAAAACTAGTCAATTTCTTTGAATTCACGTCTTCCCTAATTAATATTTCATGTTATCCATGTCAACATGTTTGTAGAAGCAAATAAACGAATTAGTACCCCCATGTACACACCAGTGATTCACTCAGTATTCAGCCAGGGGGGGTTTTGTTTCATCCTGCAGGTCGAGACCCGAGGGCGATAGATGCTCGTGGGCCAGCTGCTGCGCAGAGGGTTCCCATGGCAGGGGCAATGCAAGGTCCCGTCGCTCACAGCATGGGTCCTAACGCTCCTCCACCTGCAAGACCGGTAACAGCAACATCCAGTGTCTCAGTCTGCCATGGTTCTTTGATTGATTTTTTATTTCCCTCCAGTTTATTTTAATGTGTTTTAAAGTTTTGCTGTGGCTAAAACCAGGAGAAGAATCTCAGTCATCCAGGTCTTGATTATTCAAAAAGAATTTAAGACTAGATCACCACTCAAGTCCACACGCCTTGACTCTTGGACAAAATGTAGGACTAGTGGCCAGTCGTAAAGTATATTGATATTGTCCCCCTCTCAGCCACAGCCTCTACAACACAGGTCAGATTAATCTTTAAATCACTCAGGTTTCTGTGTTTATTCTAGATTTATTGTTTAAATTTGATGAGAAATTACACTGCTCTTAATTACTTCTGTTGTTGTTTTGTTGAGATGTATTATTCCTGTGTTTTTACAGTAGACAGATTGTATATTTAATTTCTTACAGCCAATCTTAATTTTTCCTCACTGGACTCACCAATCTCTAATCTGTAAATACTTGTTAAATAAACATTAACTTCACAATACATTTAAAACATTGTAGAAGTCATATGGGGCTTGAGGGAAGATGTTAGAGAAATCCGTCATATCTGCTCAAACTGTTACTGTTACTGATGAAGACTGTAACTCTGTGTGTGTTCTGCAGGGTTCTGGTATTTCTGGTGGTCCTCCCTCAGGTGGCGGCTTCAGTCCGGGTCAGAGTCAGGTCTCCACACAGGACCAGGAGAAGGTCGGTGTCACGTCATCAAACTCCCCTGTTTCCTGACAAACTGCACTAAGATTCATAACCTTCACGATCGTATCCAAAACCAAATAAAGCACAAACACATTGTACCAAAAATATAACCAGCAGTCACACATCATCTGCGTCCATCAGCAGCTTCCTGTTTTCTTTCTCGTTCACTAAAAGCAAGTCATTCTGAATGTGAACCTGAAGAACAAAACAGGGCTTGTGTAATACAAGTGGGAATTTTCTGGTGCTACAAAACAAAAGAACTCTGCCTGTCCTGTTACAAAAGACTATAAAGAGATAGTTTTCATTTACTTCTGGGTGTGTAGGAAACCAGGCGTGTAACGATTCTGAAACAGAGACTGAAACTGCTGCAAGAGTAATGAGCTGTGACGTCCTGACAACTGACCTGTTGATCTTGTCTTTCTTCACTGTAATGCATAAAAAAATCACAAAATAATTATTGTCGTTAAAATGTAAGCTGTATATTTTTGTGAATATTATACATTACGTCTTTTTTGTTTTTTATGTGTCACATAGATAATTTGGTCCAATAGTGACTGAAGATTGAGTGATAACACTTTAGGCCACGTTAGGCCAGTAAACTTTTACCTCCTAAAAGTGTCCCTTCTGTTGTAGGCCGCCCTGATCATGCAAGTACTGCAGCTGACCCCCGAACAGATCGCCATGTTGCCCCCAGAGCAGCGGCAGAGCATTCTCATCCTCAAAGAGCAGATTCAGAAGACTGCGGGGGGTGCACCATGAAGACCCTCGTCAGGTGGAGGTTTTCTTTTTCCGCCCATCCTGTCAGTCAAATGTTTGTTTTAGGAAACATTTTTAAATCCTCAATGAGTAACTCATGATTTCTGTTTTCCTTCCTTTCTTTTTAATAATTTCAGGGCTCCACACTGAACCCGTCACCTGCAGCTTCAACATGTCTGAAGATGCCTCTTCTTGTAGTCTGGAACATTGTATAGTTTTTTTTAAATCATATGGTCTGTTTTCTGTATGAAAGAGTCAAGTTGGAGCTTTTGGATTCAAAAATAAGCAAATCTTGTGAGAATGATGCTGAAAAGTGAGTTTCATTCTTTTCCCCTCCAAAGCTGTTTTCATATTATTGTTCTGGAAACTTTCTGAATATTGTTTTGTCAATAAAACAAACAAAGAAATAGTAGGACTTCTGGTTTTCATTTATTCAACACAAGTCAACAATGTGTACAAGAAAGGCAATTGTGAAAATCAGTTCAGTATTTATAAATTCTCCCACGTCTTCCTTCTGGTTTACATGTTTCTGTAAATAAGGAGACAGCAGCCAGTGTGACAGGTTAAATCAGCCATTGTTTCCTAAACCAGGCAGCATGCTTCACTTGAGTTTAATGATACAGTGAGTTTACAGGTTTATTGACAGCACAAAGTCTGAAGACTGCACAATGGATTATTAGTTTCATCATGACTGAGATAAGGTGAAGCCGTTTGCTGTGCACTGAAGAAATAAGAACACACCGCGCCTCATCATTATCATCATCATCATCATCATCATCATCATAGTGCTACAACACACCCAGTGTCGATGTAATTCAGGCAGCTATGTCACTTCAATTGATCCACAGTAAATGAAAAACTCCCAAATGCTTCTCTCCTGGCATCTCTGCTCAGAAGTTCTCCTTGTTGAAGTAAAACTTGGTCTTTCGAGGATCCACGTCAGAGAATTTGGCACATTTCTTCTCCAGGACTTTAGCCAGAGCTGCAGGGCCACAGAGGAAAGTCCCCACCACAGACCTGAGGACATCAGTGAAACAACAGAGAAAGTTTTGAAGTTCATCATAAGTGATGGAAATGAATGAGTGTTTTTAAGTACAATTTGAAGGTTTTTTTCCAGCCAAGATTTTATTTATATTTCTCCGCCGCTTGTTTATAAAAAAGCTGTTGTGTCCCCTCGTCATGTTTTCAATCAGCCATTTCACAATCTAACAACGCTGCTTTCAGACGGACTCCGGAGTCCAAACATTTTATTAAAATGATACAAACTAAAATCTCCAAGTGAGCCCTCATCTGAATGTTCTGGACATTTTCCTGTTAGTGAACGTGTCTGACTCAGACAGTCTCCTGCTGCTGCCTTCTTTATATGTGAAAGACAAACTCTGGAAAATGACACTTGATTTATAAAGGTATATAAGAATTAAAAACATGTTATAAACGTGTGCATGAGGAGGTTTATCTCTTACGTGGGGTTCTCTTTGCGGACTTGTTCGAACTCCTTGTCCCAGATGGGTCTGCCGTACTGAGTTTTCTGTTTGAGCCCGGTCACCACATCTGTGTCCTCGTCGAAACGAACCTTTACATGATTGGCCTGAGACGATGTGGAGAGAACAATAAGCAGAGTTAAATCTGAAATGATCATTTATCTGGACTTTGCTCTTTAACTGGACTGGGGGTGAATCCTCTGACTCTACATGCACCTCTATGGTCAGTGTTTTTAAAGTTTCTTGTCACTTACTGACAATAAATATGAATTACAGAATCAGGAATTGTGCAGAGATGCTAGACATTTAATTTATGGCCCCTGGTTTAGAAAAATCCAACATCCACTGGACTTGAGTAAAATGAGGTGTGGCTCCTGAACTCACGGTGCTCTGGTCCCATCCGGTCAGGTAGAGCTTGTAGGTGAGGAAATTCCCCATCCCTCTCTCCTCCATTTCTTTCTCCAGCACCTGCAGCAGGTCGGCGAACCACTCGAAGGCGTGTGTTTCTCGGCACAGCCAGTAGAAGTAGATCTGAAAGCAGGAAGCAAGAGAGTAAAAAAAACGTGTATGATGCTGCTGGTGACTCATCCTCCGACATGGGCGTACGTGACAGAAACACTTTGTACTCTAGAGACAATTACAGGTGAATGTTAGTCAGTCTCAGTCGTGTGCTGAAATCGATGTGTGGGTGTTTACCTTCCTGGTGCGCAGTTTAGGATTGGAGTCCTTGAACTTGTACCAGATGGACTTGAGGATGGAGGCGAAGGGGGTGACTCCGATGCCGGCGCCGACCAGCATGCTGACCTCATAGTCGAAGACGTCCTCGCTGGCTGTGCCGAAGGGTCCGTCCACGCCCATTCTGAGGAGAGACGATGAATGACATGATGAGATATCAGGAGAGAGAACCAGAGATGAAAACTAAAACCCGAACAATTCTTTGAAACACGAGAAAGTCGCAGGAATGAAAACACAGGGGAGTGAAAAATGAGGTAGAAACTGGATGGTCAATCATTTTGATTAAAATATATATATTAAAATGCTTATAATGAACCACAATTACGATATAAAACATTGATACAAAAGGTTTACTGCAGTAGCCCTCATCTTTTTTTGATGTTTCCACCCCTCACTGACTTGGTTTGTTTATTTATCTGAAGCATTCCACAGAAACTACTGAACGTATTTCCACAAAACTCGGTGGAAAGATGGGACACGAGCAGAGAAAAACAAAGGGACAGATATGTCTTAACATTCACAGATCGTCGAGGGAATAATTCCTGGATCTTGATGAAAAAAAAAATCGTATCTGTCCGTATAATCAGCAGCTATATGAAAACCTTTCTATATATTAATTGTGTATTTTTATCAGGACAGATTTGCAGAAATTCACTTTTCTGCCATTTACCACAAACAAACATTTATAGTCTGAGCTGGTTCACAGAGCTCATCCCTACACAGGCCTGCGATACAATCGTCTCACCTCAAGCATCATTAAGTAGCTGCAGCTCGGGGCTTTCAACCATATCGTTTACATTCTTTCTTAACACAGATAACAAGTGTTTAAAGTTCCCGGAATACAAAAAGAAAATTCAATAACAATTGGGACAAAGTGTGACACTGATGTGTTGGATCTAAAGCCACAGAGGCTGCAACACTTCACTGAACTTGTCTGTGTTTTTTTCTCAGTTGACATTTGCAGCAGTGGTTTTAAATGAGGGGACATTTTGCAGAAGGTGTAAATATCATTTTAACATCATAAAACCTGTTTCTGTCATTTCTGTGGATCATTAAGCAAACTAATGAATCAAAGTCATTTAAATTAAATCTGTGCAGGAGCCTGAACTAAAAGTCTTCATCGAGAGACGTGGATTGAAGAGTTTAAAGCGCAACATAACCTTTTCCTAAATGTTTGTTTGCATCAAAATAGAGAAATGGTTTAATCCCCTGAATTAAATAATGATCACTCTGGTCATTTGTTTGCGTCCTGTGTAAGTATAATAATAAAATAACAAGGCATCGAAATGATCTCCTATATTCTCAAAAGGTTTTATACTTTAGCTTTGTTGGTTTTATTTGTTTAATGGTATTAATGTAGCTTTCTCCTCATGGCGTCTGTTTCATGATGATCTCAGACGAACCAAATAGATTCTTTTTGTGAAGACGTAAATCGTTCTCTCTCAAAAACAAAAAGGACCGAGCTGCCTCTAAACACGAACCAACGGTGAAGAATATTGATTTCCAACCTCAGTGGTTGAGTTATAAAGAGATGTTTATTTTTGTTTGTACTCACTTTGGCCCCTGCGCTCCTTCTGGCAGCTGCTGCACAATGTCGATAAGCTTGTCGGTCCAGTCTCCGGCCGAGCGGATGTGGACACTGAAGAAGTCCTCCTCGGGGGCGGAGGTCATGGTGAACGGGTGCCACTCCAGCTGAGAAATGGCCGGGCAGTTGAGGAAGACGTACTGACCCACCTCCATCTTGAAGCCGCTCTTCACCAGCTGCAGCTCCAGCACTTTGGATGGCCGCATCACGATCTGTGGAGTGGAGGGGGCATATTTACAAACTTCAAGCTGCAAAGTAACCCACAAACCAGCAGGTGAGTCACGAATCGAACGCACCTTCCTGTATGTGACTCTCTGCATGTAGCGAATGAAACGCAGCAGACGTTCACATATATACAGGATCATTGGACCAATCACCCACATCCAGGTCTGAAAAAACAGCCAGAAAGATGCGATTATTTAACCGACTGTTTTTCTTGTGCTGGCAGGGGAAGTTGTGTAATCTGAAGTTAAAACAACAGACACCTGAGGGAAGCCTCCTGCAAACTGAGGGAGAGGACACTCAGGAATCCGTCCCCATTCGTCACTGCGATCTTTACAAAAGGTGACGTTGTGCGGTGGAGTTGTCGTCTGCTGACTTCTCACGATGCGTCTGCGAATGAGACGAATGAGTAAAACCAGTTTGCAAAAACAGCAACAACCGTGACCAAGTCATTTTTTCCCTCCCTTACCCGGCTCCGTGGAAGACGAGACCAGCGAAGAAGATGATGAAGAGATGATGCGTGTACCAGAAGACCTCGAAGTAGTTGCGTCTGATGACCTCCATGGAGGAGGTGATGATGAGGATGAGGGCCAGCGTGATGATGACGCCCGTGAGCCCGGCGATGGTGGTGAAGACAAAGTAGGTCGGGATCTGCTGCAGATCCTAAAACACGAGGAGAAGAAGAAGGAAACGGAGAAGAAGGTGGACACGTGAACGTTTGTTTACATGATGAGGACGGAGACAGATTCCAGGATTTTAGGTCCAGATCCGCTCAGTGGTTTGCCAGTCACACATTTTAACAATGGCAACTATATCGGCCAAGTTAACTGCCGGGATCTGGACCTCAGGATGATAATGTTTTTTTTGTTGTCAGCTTGTCCACCACTTTGATCCAGAATGAAATAACCTAAACAACTATTGGATGAATTGGCACAAATATATTTTCAGACATTCAGGGTCCCCAGAGGAATCATCTCACTGACCTTGGTGTTTTCTATTTTTACTCCATTGCAATTTTCTCTATACAGTTTGTTTTTATTTACCGAATATAAAGAAAAGAGAAAAGCAAGAAAATACAAGATTATAATTTAGATTTTCCACATTTGCGATTATGTAGTATCCTATTGTGATATTCTGGTTATAACTAGAGGATGAAACTTACGATGTCTGTGATGCGGATGGGGTTCAGGTAGGTGGTGTTATCTGTGTCCTCCAGGTTGGACAGAGCAGTGCTGAGCTTGTCATAAACTCCTTGTCTGCTGTTGTTGTACCACTCCACGTTCAACAAATGTGCAATCATATGAACAGCTGTCGGAGCACAGAGAGGAGACGCATCACTGCTGCTGCTTGCATTCACATGGTCAGTCATTTACACAGATGGCATTTAAATGACAATCCCTAGCCTTGTACTTTTAGGGTTTTCCCAGATTTTAAAATTAGCAGGTGCAGAACACAAAGTCCAGATTTCCTCTTATCTCTGAGAAGAAATATGGAGAAATTCCCTTAAATACACCCTGGGTCAATATTTATTTTGGGCTTCATTTGTCTTCCTCTGACTTTGCCGCTCCCCCCGCCCTAGTTCCCAAACACAATGGTTCCACCTAACGCAGAGGTAGAATTACTGGTGTTTTAAACATCCCTATCAGGATTACAAACAGATTCATGTCTAATAATCAGATTATCAGAGGTTTGTGTCATTGCTACAGAGACCAGGTTGAGAACAACAAGGAACACTTTGCACTCAGGGACCTGAAGCTGTAGAACGAGCTCCCTGCATTTCCTGAGTTTACACTTTGTTTATTAAATTTTTTTAACTGTTTTA